TTAATAAATATGCATTAATCCTAGCATATGAATCCTACATTCAGGTTTAATCTTCAGCTCATGATTAATGAAAAATCTGATACTGAAAAGGAACAGAATTATTTTTAAATTTATAACAAGAATTGGATTCCAAGTAAAGTTTTCATTTATCAGAAGACCACAGAGTACTGAGACATTGATGTAATTTGCACATAGGAGATGCAGTTCATATACACATATACTCTCTTAGCTACTCGGAAGAGTACCGGAGTGTCTTGCTCTAAAATTGAAAGTCACATTAATTCAAGTATCACTTATCACTCTCCATATCACTTATGCAGCATGAAATAGTCATTGTTTGAATTGGTATATAATTTTCTTGAAGGGACCATTTTCAAGAGCTTTATTGATATAATTTTCTTAGTAACATTTTAAAGTATTATAGGTCAAAATCTATTTCAAAAAGTAACTCTACCAAAAATCGTTAGCTTAAAATGTTTTTAAGCCTTAATAATGTTGCAGAATTTAATTTCCACTATGTATTACAGATAACAAGATATTTTTTGTTGTCTAAACCCTTTTCAGTTCTAGAGGAATGTGAAAAGAAAGTCATCCCCCAAAAAGTCTTGGTAAAGACCAGTCTTTTTTGTGTGAGTTATTCTTATTATTAATTGGCATGAGTATAATAGATAGCAATTCTTGATTACTTATTGAGAAAAGTATAAGCTTTAATCCTATAACAACTTCCTTTTAAAATACCTTATTAATTCATATTTATCACAGTGATCTGGTATCCAATGAAGGTAGAAAATACAAATTGAAAAGGTGAGAATGAAGTCAGAAAGATAATCTAAACCAAAGCTTTGAAAGGCCAAATCTAAGGTGGAGAGTAAAACTGTAGAGGACAGAGAGGTGAGGCATCTAAAGTTTGATGTAGCAGAGAATCTGAAATATAAAGAGAACGGCTGGTTAGTTATGGACCTCATTCATTTGGGAACTAGATGACATTACACAGTTTATCTGCACTCTTATATTTTAACAAATCAGAAAAATAAGAAACAATTTAGCTACGGGAACTTATACAATATAATTTAGCAATTTAAAGTCAGAATTGAAGTACCAATGAAGTCAAACGCCTGGGGAAAATTCTAGACCTGACACCCTCAGAAATCTTCATCTTAATTTTAATTCTCTATTTACTTGAAAATGTACTTACTTGAAAACATTTTTTAGTTTAACACATAATTTTTTAAACAGTACAGAGCAGAGAGAATGCTAGATTAATAAAGATTTTGGGATCCTAACCAGCCACTAACTAGTTAACAAAACATAGTAAGAGTTCAGCCTTTTGTAATTGAAAAGCAAATCTGATGAACTTAAAAGCCTTTTAAGGCTGTCCTGATGAAGCTGTCAATTACCAGTTGTCCATAGCTGTGGTCTTCTGAATCCTTAGAGTAGTTTCTGCAGAGGACTGTTCAATCTTAAAGCAAAATTTGATGTAGATTCATTGCTCCACTTGCTCAGTCATATTGAATGCACAGCCACACAGTACACATATTTACTCAATGGTATCTACCACCCCCACTGACTAGTACAGTGAAGTCATCATTGTTCATGCATGAGCATTCCAGTTGATTGTCCTTGGAGGCTGGGTTACATAAATGTCATGAAAACCATTCTCATTATATTAACAATGGCTGGACTTTTTCTGCATATATCTCATATATTTTGTTCAAAGTTTGTTGCCCAGTTCTTTGAAGACTTTTATCTAGTGACTTTCATCTGCTTTCAGCATTCATTTCCCTTTAGTTTTTTCCCCCTTTTTGGTACACCCATGATCCATTTCAAGATGAGTGATATTCTAAAACACCAATCTTCCCTGGCTGGTATAGCTCAGTGGATTGAGTACAGGCCTGTGAACTAAAGGGTCACCAATTCAATCCCCAGTCAGGGCACATGCCTGGGTTGCAGGCCAGGTCTCCAGTAAGCGATGCACAAGAGGCAACCATGCATTGATGTTTCTCTCCCTCTCTTTCCCCTTCCCTTCCTCTTTCTAAATATAAATAAATAAAATCTTTAAAAAAAGTAAAACACAAATCTGATTTTACTACATTCCATATAAAACAGTTTATTCTTTGTATTTATTGAAATCCACACTCTCAATAGGGAATATGTTAAAATATTACTTAGTGAACAATTTTCCAGCTTACTTAGAGTTTTCCAAGAAACTTGTTTTAGATATATTGCTTTTAAATAGTCTCCTTCCTAACCTATTACATAAATCATGTAGAATGTTCAAAATCCAATTTATTGCTCTGTTCTTTTTTCCATTTCCAAGTTTTATTTTACAATTATAGTTGATATTCATTATTATATTAGTTTCAGGTGTACACCCCAGTGATTAGACATTATATAACTTACTAAGGGATCATCCTGATAAATCTTGAACCCATCTGACACTATACATAGTTATTAGAATATTATTGACTATATTTCCTGTGCAGTACTTTACATGCCCATGACTATTCTATAACTACCATTTTGTACTCTTAATCTCTTCCCCTTTCTCACCCATCCTCCCAAACCCCTTCCCATCTGGCAATCATCAAAATATGCTCTGTGTGAGTTTTTTCTCTTCTGCTTGTTTTTTTTTATTTTGTTTTTTTAGATTCAATTGTTTATAAATATGTATTTATTGCCTTTTTATTGTTCATTTCTTCTTCTCCTCCTTCTTTCTTCTTCCTCTTCTTGCAGAAGACTGTTTAACACTTTATATAATACTATGTTGATAGTGATGAACTCCTTTTGCTTTTTCTTATCTGAGAAAATATCTCTTATTTGATTCTAAGTAACAACTTGGCTGGGTAGAGGAATCTTGGTTGTAGGTATCTGAATTTTATCACTTTGAATATTTCTTGCCAATCCCTTCTGGCCTGCAATTTTTCTGTTGAGAAATCAGCTGATGCATCTTCTGGGGACTCCCTTGTATCTCAGTTTTTCTCTTGCTGCTTTAAAATTTTTCTCTCTGTCTTTAACCTTTGGCATTTTAATTATGATGTGTTTTCAAGTGCACCTATTTAAATACATCTTGTTTGGCACTCTCTGTGCTTTCTGGACTTGAATGTCTATTTCCTTCAACAAGTGAGGGAAGTTTCTGCCATTATTTCTTTACATAGATTTTCAATTTCTCTCTTTCTCTCTCTTCCTGCTGGCAATCCAATGATTTGAATGCTAGTACACTTGAAGTTGTCCCAGTAGCTCCTTACACTATCCTAAATTGGGGGGAGGGGTATTTTTTCCTTTTTGCTATTCTGATCAGGTGTTTCTTGCTTCCTTACATTTCAGATCACTGATTTGATTCTCAGCTTTATTTCCTTTAATGTCGATTCTCTGTAATCTATCCTTCATTTCAGTTAGTGTATCCTTCATTTCTAACTGGTCCATTTTTATGCTGTTAAAGTTCTAAGTTCCTTGAGCATCTTTATAACCAGTGTTTTGAGCTCTGCATCTGGTAGATTGCTTGTCTCCATTTTGTTTACTTCTTTTTCTGGAATTTTGTTCTTTGGAAAACGTTTGTCTCCTCATTTAGGCAGCCTCCTTTTGTAGGTAGAGCTGCTACATCTCTCTGGCTTGTTAGATTGGCCTAATGTGGTAAGTGTACTGCAGGGTCCAGTGGCACAGCTTCTCTGATCAACCAAGCTGGGCACTTAAGGTGCCTTCCCCTTGTGGGCTGTGAACACCTTCCTCTTGTAGCTTAGCCTTGATTGCAGTTGGCATATCAATGGGGGGCATCTACTCTCAGATTGGTCAGCTACAAGGAGTGACAGCAAACACTGATCACAGACCTCCAACCACTATGGAGGATCGGCTGTGCTGGGCCCCACTGCAGGGAGAAGGACTTATTTCTGCAGAGATCTAGTGCCCGCTGAGTCCTCCCCTTGAGTGTGTCACTTGTAGAGCTGCTTCGGGTGGTGCTTCAATGTGGTCTGAAGCTGCCTACTGGCTGCACGGGCTCTGGGTCCTCCCATTAGGTGCAGGCCAAGGTCAGTCACCACCTGTGTTCTGCCTCGGTCCACCTGGCATGAGCTATAAAGAAATTCGCAGATGGCTGCTACTTCCTCTAGGCTTGGAGGTGCCCAGGAGAGGCCACACAGGAAGCAAGGCTGCCTGCTACCAGTGCCAGGCCTAGAGCCACTTAATGCGAGGTAAGGGGCTCTCTGAGTTCAGATGCTATTTGTTTGAGAGATTTTAGGAAAATCTGAAGCATGAGCCAAAATAGGCCATTTGTACCGCCAGGCCACTGGAAACGGCTTGGCTTGGCCTGAAAGTTGGGTGGAACAGAGCCTCGGTGAATCACCAGGGTGGGGCAAAGAGTGTGAGCCATGTTGATGGAAATTACAGTATGGAGCCCACCTGTCTGTTCTGTGTGGGGGAGGGTTCAGAAGAAGAATCATGACCTCTGACTGTACTTCCACCTGATAGAAAGTCACCCCCACAGCTCTTACCTTGATGCCATACAATACAGTTCCTCTCTGTGTGTCCCTGGTGCCTTTCAAGCTGTGGCACCATGATGTAGCTTAGAGCGAATGAGTATGAGTAAGTGTGTGTGGGTCCTTTAAGAGGAACTGCCTGGGACTCTGGAAGCCCTCAATCTCACTCAGCCACAATCCCTGTTGATTTTTAGAGCCAGAAGTTATGGGGACTTTCTTCCTGGTGCTGGAACTCTGAGCCTGGGACCTCTCTCTCCTCAGCTGGGATCCCCATAGTTGAGCAATCCCTCCTAATTTTTGTCTAATACATGTGGATGTGGGAACTGCCAGTCCAGCATCTCTGCACCTTTTACCAGTCTTGATGTGGCTTCTTCTTTAGTTCGCTAGTTATAGGACTTTCATTCAGCCAGATTTCAAGTGGTTCTTAAAAGTAGTTGTATAGACAATAACTGCATTTACCTACTGTATCATATGTTTATATACTCTGCTTTTCTTCTTTACAAAGTTTTTATGACACTTTCAATCCAATACCAAAAGGCTTCTCTCCGTCTTTCACCATCCCGCATATGTAAATCAATTCAATTGTTGACACATTTTAGTAGGTGTTTATGTTTTTTTTCTCTGTACATAACAATTAATTGTCTTGTACAGCATTTATTTTGGATGTTCCAGCACTTAACACAAACTAAAAGCACAATACAATAATAAATGTTTGGAATTTTTTAATTCATACGACTGTCATGCTAAATACTGGGCTTGGGGCAGATTTCCCTTGCAGGAGGGAAATGGAGGCTGCTTGACAAGCTATAGAGGAGAGGGGAGAGTCTGAGTGGATCACACTGATTAGCTATTCTTTGTGCTGCTTCAGAAAGCTGGTCAGCAGTGTTAAATGCCATGAATATGAGAAAATATGGAGTAGGGCAATTTTGAAAAGTTAAGTGATTTGCTATGAGTCTCATGAATTGACCTGAGTACTTATTGCCTACAGCTAATTAAAAGGACAATAGAAACAACATTCGAAAACTATGAACAGTTATATGCTAACAAATTATTGAATATCCTCGATGAAATGGATCAGTTCCTACAAACACACAAAATAATGTGACTGAGTCAAAAAGAAATAGAAAAACTGAACAGACCAATGAATAAAAAGATTAAATTAGTAATCAAATGCTTCCCAACAAAGAAAAACCCCAGACTAGATATTTCCATGGGTGAATCCTACCAAACATTTAAATAAAATTACTACCAACCATTCTACTCTCTGCCAACATATTTAAGAGGTGGGAACACTCCCAAACTCATTTTATGAGATGTGCATTACCCTCTAACAAAGGCACATAAAAGAGTAAAGTTAAAAAAAAACAAAAAACACTACATGCCAACATCCCTGATCAATATGAAGGCAAAAAATTCCCAACAAAATACTAGCAAACTGAATTCAACAACACATCGAAGGGATCAGACACCACGATCAAGTGGGATTTATTCCTGGGATTCAAGGATGTTTTAACATATGCAAATCAATAAGTATAATATGCCTCATTTTTAGAATGAAGCATAAAAATTATATGATCATCTCAACAGATTCATAAAAAGGGTTTTCCAAGTACATCAGTTCATGATAAAAATCTTTCAATAAAATGGGTATAAAAAATTATACCTTCACATAATACAGGCCAATAGCTAACAAAATAAAATATAAAATGTAGAAAACTTTTCCTTTAAGATCAGGAACAAGACAAGATTACCAACTCTTACCACTTTCATTCAACATAGTATTAAAGGTCCTAGCTAAACAAATGAGGCAAAAAGAAAAAAAAAGAAATAGAAAAGAAAAGGAATACATCCAAACTGTAAAAGAAGTAAATTTTTTTTGCAGATATGACCTTATGGTTAGAAAATTCTAAAGACTTCATCAAATAACAATCAATAGATTAACTAAAGTCACAGGATACAAGATCCATATATTAAAATTTCTTTTATTTCTATACATTAATATGGGAGCATCTGAACAAAAAACTTTTTTAAAAAGTAATCTCATTCACAATTGCATTAAAAATAATAGAACAGCTAGGAAAAATTTAACCAGACTATAATACTATGATGAAATAAATAAGAAAGACACAAATAAAAAGAACTTCATGTTCCTGATAAGAATTAATATTGTTGTAATGTTTATACTACACCCAAAGCTGTTTTCAGATTCAATGCAATCCTTATAAAAATTCCAATAGCATTTTTTTACATAAAAAACACACAAAAAACCCAATTCTGAATATTTATGAAACCATAATGCTCCAAATAGCTTTTCTGTGAAAGAACAAAGCTGGAGGCATCACACTTCCTGATTTCAAACTATACTACAAAGCTACAGTAACCAAGGGTATGGTACTGGCATTAAAGTAAACACATAGACCAATGGAACAGAACTGAGAGCCCAGAAATAAACTCATGCTTAAATGGTCAACTAATATTTGACAAGGGGAGCCAAGAATACTCAATGGGGGGAGGATAGTCCCTTTGATAAATGGCATTGGGGAAGCTAAATAATCACATGCAGAAGATTCAAACTGAACCCTTAACTTACATTACTCACACAAAAAATAACTCTCTTATTTTTTATTATTCAACATTTTTTTGTTGTTCAAGTACATTTTCTGCCTTTTCCCAACACCCTGCCCCCCTCCTTATTGTCTACATGTCCTTTATAATTGTTCCTGCAAACCCTTCCCCTTTTCCCCTATAATCCCCTCCCTTCTGCCCTCTGGTCACTGTCAGCCCATTTTCAATGTTGATGTCTTTGGTTATATTTTGCGTGCTTGTTTGTTTTGTTGATTAGGTTCCTGTTAACGGTGACATCAGATGGTATTTATCCCTCACTGCCTGGCTTATTTCACTTAGCATAATGCTCTCCAGTTCCATCCATGCCATCACAAAGGGTAGGAGCTCCTTCTTTCTTGCTGCATAGTATTCCACTGTTTAAATTACCAGTTTTTTGATTCATTCATTTACTGATGAACACTTAGGTTGCTCCCAGCACTTGACTATTGTAAATTGTGGTGCTATGAACATTGGGGTGTATAGGTTCTTTTGGATTGTTTCAGGGTAGAAAAAGAACTCTTTTAAAATGGGTTAAAGATTTAAACATAAGACCTAAAAATATAAAACTCCTAGAAGAAAACAGAGTGGAAATCTTAACATTGGTCTTGGCAATGATTTTTTTAATTTGACACCAAAAACACAAGAAAAAAAGCAAAATCTAAGTGGGACTACATCAAATGAAAAGGCTTTTCCAGAGCAAAAGAAACAAGTAAAAAGGCAACATACAGAATGAGAGAAAATATTTGCAAATAATATATCTCATAAGGAATTAATATCCAAACTACATAAAGAACTCATATAACCCACCCCCCCAAAAAAACCCACAAATCTTATTTTTAAAAAGTGCACAGAAGACCAAAGACACATCTTTCCAAAGAAGACCAATTAGTAAATGTGTCCAACAGGTATATAAAAAAATTGTTTAACATTACTAATCATCAGGGGACTGAAAACCACAATGAGATATTACTTCACACATATTAGTACGTTTAGCAGAAAAAAAGTCAAGAGATTAGTGTTGGAGAGGATGTACATAAAAGAGAAACCTTATTCATGTAAATTGGTGCAACCATCATGGAATAATAGTATGGAGATTCCTCAATAAGTTAAAAATAGAACTACTATGTGATCCAGCAATCCCATTTCTGGGTATATATGTACCCCCCAAAAAATGAAATCAGGATGTCAAAGACATTTTGGCATTCCCATGTTCATTGTAACATTATTCAAAATAACTAAGACATGAACACAACCGGAATATTCTCAACAGGTGAGCAGATGAAGATGTGGTATATATACAGTGAAGTATTGTTCAGCCATGAGAAAGAAGCAAATCCTTCCATCTGAAACAACCCAGGCAGACTATTAGAGCACTATGCTATGTAATATTGGTCAGACAGAGAAAGACAACTATTATAATATCACTTATATGTAAAATCTAAACAAGTGGAACTCATAGAAACAGAATATAATGGTGGTTACCAGGGGTTTGAGGAAAGGGGTGGGAAAATGTTGGCCAAAGGGCACAAACTTTCAGTTTTAAGCTGAATAAGTTTTAGAGATCTAATGTAATTATATGGTGTTTATAGTTAACAATAATTTATTATATAATTAAAAGTTGCATGAGAGTAAATCTTAAATGCTCTCATACTGAAATGAAATGGTTATTATAAAAGATTGTTAGCGAACAGAGAGTTCCTCCACTGGCCAAACACTAGATACTGAGAATTGCAGCGAAGAAAGACTGGCTATTTTATTATGAATGGTGCCACCCAGGAGAACAGGAAGCTTATGCTAAAAAGCCCAAATTTCTCAACCCAGGGTTCAAAGCAGGCTATTAAGGGTATACAGGAAGCAGTCATGTGTAAACACTTCTGGGCCAGTTTGAATTGGAGGATCTTGAGCTTGGCCATCTATGGTGAGGGGTGTCAGCCCTGAAACCTTTGCTTCTGCAAGGGATCTGATGTTCAACTTCCAGTTGTGTCCTGGTCCTGTTGTTCTGTGTGTGTATGAGGAGAGGGAGACTGGTTCTGGGTGTGACTGGAGTTCAAACTTTTCTCCTCTGCTGTTTTAGCTGCATGACTTGTGGTTTCGGTCTGTTGTCACTGAAAAGCAACAAAGTACCTCTTTAAACAAGATAAGGACATTTTAAGCTGGTTCTGTAGTTACAAGATGATAAAAGCGTTAATTAACATTAGGGTAGTAATCAATTTCCAATATATAAATTTACCAACTCAACATATTGTATACCTTTAACTTAAATAACAATCTATCTCAATTTATCTCAAAATTTGTTAAAACATTTCAACAGAAATATTTGCTTTCACTTTCATAGAGATGAGTATGAAAATTTAACATCTCTATTGGCAATAGGCGACCTCTAGGTTTGTCAGCCCTCCAAAGCACACACATTAGGTCAAAATATCTTTGTTAAACTTAGTAAATTAAATGACAACACTCAGTGCTAAGGCATTTGGGCATATATCTACAGGGATGATATGCCAAACTCCTAGTGACCAGGGGGAAACATACCCATTCATAATCACCCCTCCCCCTCCCACTCTGACACCAGTAGCCAGTTCAAGTTGTCACCTGTGCTTCTGACTGACTGGCTACAGGTAGAGAGGATTCCCACAATTCCCTCCTTGCACTTTAGTTTCCAATGGCAAGTCCAAGTTGTTACCTGTACTTCTGACCAACTACCTATAAATCAGGGGTTCCCATGACCCCTTCCTCGGGTTTGATTAATTTGCTACAGAACTCAGAGAAACATTTTACTTACTAGATCACTGGCTTACTATACAGGGTATAATTCAGGAGCTAAACAGAAGAGAGATGCATAGGGGAAAGTTTGTGGGAAAGAGCATGGAGCTTCTGTTACTTCACAGAAAGCTTAGGAAACCTGGCTGAGCTCTGAAACACCCTAACTCTGTGTACCTTTGAGAAGAGGAAGGC